GTTTGTTTTGTACACATTTTGTAAGTTTTTGCATTTGTATAATGTTGAAAAATGCAACAGTATCCGGTTGTGTATTTACTGTTTGTTCGACATTTTCTCGTTAATTTTAATGCATGTATATGTGAAAGCAGTAGCAGACGATAATAGTCTTTCAGTGATAGCAACAACCTCTGCTGAAGTTACATTTGGATGAACTGTAGTTCAAATTTCAGGAAGTTCAAAGGAAGGAAATTCAAAAATTTAAATAATTCTTTTACACGTTTTGCCCTTGCGGCCTTGGCCCTTAAATCTATAACGTTAGCATAGGCGCTTGAATTTGGACTCTTCAGCTGTTGATCGATTGCTGTTGCCTAACAGGTGGTATTCGTCTTTTTGTGCATGTGTCAGAGGAGCTTGTTTGGTGTAAAATGATGTGTTCTTCTTGGTTATTACAACTTTAAAGACCGCCTATTGGGAACTTGGTCGATGCTTAGGAGAAACATGAGGTTTACTAATGACCCTAGTGGAATATATGTTTTTTGTTTAGCTGGCTGCATCGTCTGAATTTCTAACTGGAAACTAAAAGGTGTTTTTCCACGGTCTCTTGGTTCTCATTTATATGCTAGATAATTTTGTTGTCGAGCATGGACAGGATGTGGTATTTTAAAGCTATGCTTGACACGGATTCTGCCTTCGGGTGCTTTCTAGTTGGCACTGTTGAGGCCGTAGTTCCTGACCGGCCTCTCAACTCCTGAGAGGATGAACCATAAATCAGATCCATAATGAGGGTTTGAATGAATTCGGCGTATCTAACGCGTTGCAGTTGCAACATTTTAACCCAGTGACTCAAAGCGATAACCGATGGCGTCAGGTATAATTACTGAACGGCTAGAGGATAATCATTTTGAAATCAGCAGAGCGTGTGATAGGATATTGGCAGTTTTCCATCGTTGATTTATGAATATGTCCAATCTGAAGATGCAGTGAATAGCTGGGGTCGAGCGATCTAAAAATTGTCCTGGTTGTTTTGAAGGACCGTAGCAAAAGCGAATTCGCGAAATGCCGTACGAAACGATTACTGCGTGTAAGCAGCTTGTCCAACGAAGGTACTTTTCTGATTACAAAACCGTTCGGAATTCTTCATACGGATTGAATTCATTGGTACCAAGAAACCTCACTGGCTATAATTTTGAATCTGTAAATACGTCAGAACCTAGGAAATATCTTTCCGTGCGAAATGTCGAACGCAGTTTCCCAAGTTGAACCTGCGAACATTAAAAACAACTGTACAAACTACGTTGGTTGACGAAGTTCGTCGAGCATAAATGCAGGTGATCGTAATGCAGGAGATGTACTTTCTTGCCACAAGCATTCTAACAGTCTCATTTTTGCTGGAAATTGTAGTTTCTGTTGCACAGGGAATACAGAAAAAGGTGTTGCTCGAAAGCGCGGTTCCGCAGTGGCAGTCATTAGAAATATAAAATGAACTTTTTTTCATTGGAGTGTGATTTCTTACCGCATTAATATTGCGAGATGCAGAGTGAAGTTCGAAGCACTTGTCGTCACTGTAGTTACACGTTAATCCCCTGTCAAAACTGTTTTAGTAGTAAAGGACGGGTTCAGTGCCATGTGAATCTGTTGCTGCAACCGTGCTGAACCCATGATTCCTTGATACCCTTTCTGGGTGACTTGAATATCAAAGTGGGAGCAAACAATGAGCTGTGTCGGTGTTGTGAATCACAAAGTATTGGCGAGATGAATGATAACTGTGAATGACTAGCAGAACTGTGTGCGATGCATCGTCTCCCTGTTGGCGGCACTCGGTTTCCTTACAAACCGGTACATAAGATCACTTGGAAGTTCTGTGATGCATCATCGAGATACTAAATTGGCCATGTTACCATCACCAGAATATATTGAGCACGCCTAGAAAATATCTGGTGTATAGAAGTTCTGAATGTGGCAGCGGTTGAGCGCTGATGACAGGTGAATTTAAAGCCAACCTCCCATCCACGACTGGGAGCCATAAAATTTACCACATCATTTGAAGTCGACAAGTTAAAATGTCAGAAAGAATCTGGTGCACATTAGGTCATGATTAATCGAAGGTTCATGCTTCTGATTATAGAGGTTGTATATCTGCATATCATACCTGGAACATATGCCAGGAAACAATAGTGACAACGATAGAGGAGTTATTGCAACTGAAAAAAACGGCTCAAGCAGTGGATTGGTTTGGAAACTAAACAGTTGGAATTGAACAATATTCTTGTTAAGATTAAAAACAAATTTTCAGAAGAACAGTGCCGAGAGAAATTAATTATCATTAAGGAAAGATAAAACACCTCTATATAAGATATTTCACTTTCTGTAATGAAAAATCTGGCTCGAAAAGTATATAAAGAGTTTGCCTTAAAGTTTGACTGTTGCTTCCATAAACACAGGCATGGAATAACGATAAGGTTAAATGAAATGTTGAAATTTGTTGTGCAAAAGGACGGTAATATTGCGTGTGATCCTACGGTTTCGTTGTGATGTGGAGAAAACACTGAATCGCTGGTAAACCCATATATGATTTTAAATCAGTATTCTCTGTATGATATTACATGTGAGCGAAACGAGTGGTGACACTAGACCGCTGGTTATTGAAAATGGGATTGAAGGCTGATGCTCAACGGAAATGACAGATCTTCAAAAATTGAAGAAGTTCAGTCGGAGTGATTAAGGAATTAGGGAATTTAAGATGAACAGAGTCCCGGAATTTGCGAATCTCTCCTGGTTGGTATGGCCGGTACGGGATATCCCGAATGGCTCCACAAATATATTGTAATCCCCATATCAAGGAAAGGCCTCTGCCATGATGGCAATAACTACTGCTGAATCAGTTTGCTATATGCTGGCACTGAAGTGTTCATTCCTATTGTAATTGACTGAATTGGATAAATTCTTTAATCGATATGGCGTGAAGAGAAGTTTAGGGCGGACAGAGGAAATATGGATCAATTGTCCAGAACGAAACAGCTAGTGGTAAAAAAGAGAGACTTGATATAAAAATTCTTTGCAATATTCGTCGATTTCCCGAAAACTGTGATTCACTCTCGAAAGATGCCTTGAGGAAAGTACGTGAACAATTTGGAATGCCACCAATGACTACCCCTTTAT